CCCTCAGGGTTGTGAATCTCACATGACCTACTTTATTCATTAAAACAGATGGTATCTATCTGAGCAAGGCAAACTTGGTTTTAAGAAAGAGCTGGGGATTAAAAGGATGGGAAGCTGGAACAGCTGGGCCTAATTTAGGGAAGCAAATAAAAAGGCAAACTGAGCATTAAATTAGTCACCTACATCAATAGCAAAATAGTCACTACATGACTACTCAATTGTTGTAGCTGATCAAAAGTTGCAGGATTGGTTTTCTTAGCATCAAAAGTATCTAAAATTGCATCAGAAATATTCCCACATTCTTTATTCTTTTCTACCAGGCTTCAAAGGGAGTAAAATCCTGGGAGCTGGCTATGGTATTTTGGCATGGTGTTAGGGAATCCGGCTTGTTTTGTAAGACTGAGAATGCCTTTCTTGTGTTTAATACCTAGGCCAAGCTGGTCCTCTGCATTTTTTGGCCTCCTCCCTTTATGTGTGTTTAACATGAGAAGGTTCTCTAATTGGGAAGATTACTGGCATTCCTTCAAGTTCTGCAACCACATTAAATTTGCAAAGGGATCCAAAAATTTTATTGTTTCTGTTCTAAACAGATCATACTGGATTAGTGGTTAGCATTTTACATGTTTTATTCTGTTTGCCTGTTCAGTCCTGAAAATCTTGAATTGTGTTTCACATAGCACAGGCACTCTTCACTTGCTTTTGTTACCGATGGCCAGAAACCTTGGTTTGCTGTATACCTTAGCAGGGAGAAGGGGACTGTGTAAATAAACTACAAATCTTCCTTCAGACCTTCTTATAGCAACCGCTTTCATGAGCTATAATTTTCTGATGTTTTGCTCTAAAACGCTGACATGCTATAACAAAGACAGGTAAGGATACGCATGTGCGTGTGTGTAGCCATTGTGCTTCCGTCAGCAGGATAGTATTTGATACATCCCAGGACTTGTCCAGAATGGTACACAGTCCCTGAAGTTCTCTTGGTTTGAACTAAGCATTAAATAAATGTCAGTAGAATATTGTGCAAATCTATAAGCACTTTATTTCCTTTCATTGTTATATGCAAGATAGGCAAGTACAGAATATTTCTATTTGAGAGTAATCCTAAGGAATGTTTGTTTATCTGTCACAGAAGGTCAGATTTATCTGGTTCGTATAGCTGAGGTCTGAGGTGATCAGGGTAAAAATATGAACAATTCTTTCATGGGGATTAACAGAAACTGTTAATGAGCTCAGTGTCTCCTTCCTGGAGGGCAGCAGGTAGCGATGCTTTGATAGAAGACAAGTAACCCTGCCTCTGTCTGCTTCCAAAAGCCTTCCCTCGAATTTGTGGAGCTGGGCCTCCATCTTACATGCTGATGCTTTGCTGCTTCAAATTTTTAGTTTTCTTTCCATGAATATGAGGGGCAGAATTTCCACCTAGTCCCAGCAAGAAAACCTGTTTTTATAAAACAGCTAGATTTTCTTGACTGTGCTAAACGGCCATAACACGTTGTTGCAGCCTCGCACCTTGGCCGTCCTGTCCCATCCCGTTCCTCCTCCCTCATTTGCAAGAAAGAGCATTTTAAAAATCTTTCAGAAATGTCTAGAAGTGTGATCAGGAGATCCAGACCAAAAGTTTAAAGTGAGGTATTTGAATTGTAGTCATATTTTTATGCAAACTTTATCTGATTGTCTGAAGACTTGCTAAGCATAAAAAGGAAAAAAAAAAAGCAAAAAAAAAAGGCAGCTCAACAATTAGTCCTGTATGTGGCTGTGCAAAGGCATAAATTAAACCCTATTTGCATACTTTTGTACAACTGTTTTTAAGTTTCAGCAAGTTCCCCTGCTGCCCCTGGTTACACGGTTAAAGTCTTTTTTCTTAGTTGAAAAAAATATGTAGTACTCTCCATGTCTGCTTTTTGCTTCTCTTTACAGCAAGAGGAGTTTGATGGAACAATTTAAATGGTGTAAGTAAATTCCAGAACATGAGTAGTATTTTCCTTTAGAGCTTTAAGAGAGCATATTGTTAGTCAAAAGTGCTAGAAGAATGGTGGTTGTGTGTCTGGGTACTGTCACTACCAACTGATGTAGACCTAATGGATTTTCTGAGAAGACTTGAATGGGAGAAAATTCACATTGTGAGCAGAGATGTCTGAAAACAAATGTTAGATGGCTTCTTAGTCTGTATTGTCGTCTCAGTTTCCATAGTTGCTTGAAACTGGGCTAAAGATGTTTGAAAAAAGACTGCCTGCAATCAGTTCAACAGTAAAACTGGTTGGGGAGGTTTCAAGTTCTTCTCTGTCTGTGTGGTCTTCTGGTTTTCTCAGAGACTCTCAAGATTAGCTGCTTGCCACCATTCTGGAATAGCTTGCCAGGCTTTGCCACTCCTGGCAGAGACGTTTTTAAAGAGGCTGTGTTTCTCAAGTTAGAGCTATTGCTAAGTCCCCTACAGGTCCTTCTTTGAAAAGGGATGGAAGTTGTGATAGCTATTGTTGCTATTGTTCCTGAGCAGCACCATTTGTAAAGTTAGACCAATAATGAAAAATTAAAGCATTCTAAAATGAAGATTTCTAGGACAAGGAGAACAATTGGAGTAGACCTAGGAACAGTTAGGTATGTGTTCACTTCTGACTTCCTTATTGAATATGTTTATGGAACCACTTTGTTCATACAAGTGTCAAAATGCATATGAAACCAGCATTTACTCATGGGATTGGTACTGTTAATTTAAAAGTTACTGTTAACTTAAAAATTTAAGATGATTTTTAGTTTCAGTGTGTGATATGAGTATAGTTATTCGTGACAGTGGTTTTACTCAGAACTTAAATTTCAGTTCCTGATTCTAAAGTAACCTGAGTTAATTTTTTGTCTGCACATTTAATAAGAATGTAAATAACCCGTGTTGGCTCTGCTTGGAAGCTTTTGAACCTTTTTTTTTTTTTTTTTTAAACTGCAGAAGCCCATCTCCATAAAAATAAGGTTATTTACAGGTATAGTCTTGTAATGTCACTGCATTGTTAAAGGATTTAATTGCATGATAAATTTTCCAGGGTAACCTGGTGCCTTAACTATAACAGCAAGCTTTGTCTGGGACCTGTTTACAGTTCTTATGGTTAAAGAACTGTAACTCAGGACAGGTGGGAATGTAAAACTGCTTTGATAGAATCTTCTGTGCCTGGACAACTGTAGCCCTTGGTGGGTTTGCTAAGTGAGAAGTTTTATCTCGAAAGCTGGTTTAGAAAGCTGTATTGGTAACAGAGCTGCAAGTGCCAATAAAACTAGATTGCTGAAGTTTTTAGTTTCTAGTTTGTAATACAGGTATTTTGTTTTGCTTTTCAGTAAATGCCATGCTCTTAAAAATTACAAGTGACTGCAAAATATAACTGCTAAATAAAATGTAAATGTTTTAAGTGAGAATACAGATACAGAAGCCAAACATTTTTTTTTACAAATTCTCAAATTTCTTGAACCTACTAGAGGCAAAAGCTCCTTTGATTTTAATTCCCTCTTCAAGTACTGCAGTTTTGAAAGTTCATGTTTTGGTCTCTCTCCTCCACGCCTCTCTCAAAAATCTGTTTCCCTTCACATCCGTACACATCTTGGAAAATTGCCTTGTAGTATACGTTGATCATAACCGGTCAGCACAATCTGAAATCAATTGACATAACAGTTAATAGTACTGAAACAGGTCTATGGACTGCCTTCCTAGGGTATGTGCAAGGAAGGGGATGATTGTGGGCTTAAGTATGAGATTTTAATTTTTTTGGAAGGCGTTTCTTGACAAGAGAGTGACCTTTTAGAAGTTAGGCAATTGATTTGAATGCCAAGTGTCTTTTATAGTGGCACATATTTGTGTCAAAGAATAGGATTAAAAATGTCTGGTGTGCTGTTCTAATGGAACCTACATGGCATTGTGTAATGAGTGAAAAACAATGAGGAACCACCCAATGAGCTGAAATGTGAGTTCATCTTCAGATATATAACACTATGCTGCAGTACAAATCGAAGTGCTAGTTTTCGTTTTAAATTCAAATTAAAAGAAACGTTGAGTTCATTTATGTACAGTTGTCAAATGCAATGCACTTAAAAGGAACTTTAATGATTATTGAATGGAGAAATACATAATATATCATTTAAAAGACAATATGTTTTCGTTTTCCTTTCATATTTTTAAGAGTGAATTGAAAAAGCAGTATGTTAAGTACAAAAAAAGGGTGCCTGGAATCTACTGTTTCCATGTAATACAATGATGCAGCACTCTAAGCTGGTCAGTTTTTTTTTCACTTCTAGAAGGGTCAGCAACTTTTAAGTACTTCTTACTGTCACACCATTATCTTGAGGAATCACTTCATTTCTCTGTGCACATTTAAAGGAATAATCTCCTCACCTGAAAAATTGCAAATGGCTGTTCTCAGTCACGGAACCTTAGTAGATGAATAGTTTGAATATTTTTTTTTTATTTGTTTTTTTTTTTTATATTCTGTGCTCTTCGTGTTATGAGTTTCTACATTTGAAACCCTGATTGATTTTTAGCTACCTTCTATTAGTAAATAATATATGGAAAGTTAAGTAGGGTGTTTTTTTGTGTTGAGGAATTATTGAATCCATTACAATTGAACATTATATATTCTTGGTCAGTGATTTTTAAATTTTTTTTTCTTTTGTGCCACACGTTGTGGCATCTTACATATTACATACTTTTTTTTTTTATACATCTCCCTTACCATTTCTCAGGACCACTTCTCTTTGCAAGAAATGGTACCAGTGTCTGTTCAAAGAGAGGCAGTATCACAATACTGTTATTTTTATTAAATAATTATCAGTAAAAATTGAGAAATCCCAAGAAAAAAAATTGTGTGAAAACAGTTGAAATATGTAATACTGATACATATTTATTGGGGAGGGAGGGAAAACACTGCACAGGAATTGAGTTCCTGTAGGTTTTAATGTAGTAAATTATCTTTGTGTTTTTTTTTTTTTCTTTTTTGCAGTAAGTTGACATTGCTTCTTTGACTTTTCAGGCACAGGTACCTTTGGGCGTGTTCACCTGGTGAAGGAAAAAATGGCCAAACGTTATTTCGCACTGAAAGTAATGAGCATTCCTGATGTCATTCGACTGAAGCAAGAGCAACATGTGCACAATGAAAAGTCAGTCTTGAAAGAGGTCAACCACCCCTTTTTGATCAGATTGTAAGTTGTTGTATTTTTAAAATTCATTTAACTCATATGTAAAGTGCAATTAAAGTGTTCCAGGGTCTCACTGCAAGTTCTTATGTACTTAACTAACACCAAGCATTACACAATCTAGACCCAAATATTTATTATAGAAGAATCAAGAATTTAAAATCAAGAGGCATATTTTAAACATTTAAGCAATAATTTATTATAGGCTTCACTTCTATGCTGGAGCTTTACTTTCTCATTTTCCTACTGCAGAAATTTTCTTAAGTGATGGGGAAATACTAATGAAGAAATGTTAGGATTGGCTCATCACAATGACTTTTAGAATGATTCTTGATGTTGGAATGACAAGGAAACAAGTATTTCTATGTATATATTTCCTGTAGACTTCTAGATTAAGATACAGTTAGATTTAAGTGTCTGCTTTTTGAAAACTTTAGTGAACTTTACTTTTGCAAACTTTATTTTCAAAGAGCTTAAATGACTGCAGGAGTTCTTGAGCTTTGTTATTCCCATATTTGAGGATAAGTGATGGAACCTATTGAGAAACATGATTCAAACAAAGTTCATGAAGAATATTTTTTTTTAGTGGAATTCCGATGATTCAAATGATACCTTTATTAAAGAGAGAAGGCACAATACTTTTCTGTTCACAGCACCACGATACGTTCAGTGTATCCGAGTCCATATTTATTAATGGGATAAATAAATCTCTGGGTAATTGCACAGTTAATTTCCACTTACATTTTCTCATGCATGGATACGAGGCCATTGACCAAGATTTGTTTTGCATTTACCTGCCTTTAATCAGTTTTACATAGAATTAGAAAAAATTAGCCTCAGTTAATCTCTAGCTGCAGGGAGTGCAGCCTCCTCCCAGTGCTAAGAAAGTATCAGAGGGAAAAGAAAAGGCAAAAGCATGCAGTCATCCGAAAGATGGAAAGAGCCCTGCAGAAGCAGGCTTTTTCCCTGGTGTGCTGCTGCTTTTTCCAGCATCGTGATGCTATCAGTTTCCAGCCAGCGTTCAGAAATCCTGTGTGTGGCATAGTATCAGTAAGATGAGTTCTAGAGTCTGTGGACTTTGAGATGCATGCAGGAAAGCAAGGTGGAGAGGCTGAGTACATCTGGTTAGACTGGTTAAAATACGAATGGAACAGGGGAACAGGATTTCATATGTATATCAATATACATATATAAATTTTTTGGGAAAAAACAAAACAAAACAAAAAACAACACAACCAACCAATACCCTAGAAAAAACAAACAAACAAGCAAAACAGTCCAGTACGTCTGTATATCTGGAACAGTGCAGCAAGTGTGGGAATAGAGAAACATCGGTGAGAAATCAGACAGGAATGTGAGAGTTTGTGTCCATACAGAAGTGATCAAAAATCCAAACTGATAAATTTTCTTTGATTTCATTCATGCCTTATTTTCAAAATGTCAGATTTTTAAAATTGCCAAAGAAAGGACACAATGCTGTGTTCTGTTTTGTGCCCTCCACCACAAAAGAGACACTGAGGTGCTGGAGCATGTCCAAAGAAGGACAACAGAGCTGATGAAGGGTCTAGAGCACAAGTCTTGTAAGGAGCACCTGAGGGAACTGGGGTTGTTTAGCCTGGAGAAAAGGAGGCTGAGGGGAGACCTTACAGCTCCACAGCTACCTGAAAGGAGGTTGTAGCAAGGTGGATGTTAGTCTCTTCTCCCAGGTAACAAGTGAAAGGACCAGAGGAAGTGGCCTCAAGTTGTGCCAGGGGGGTTTAGACTGGATATTAGGAAAAATTTCTTCCCCAAAAGTATTGTCAAGCATTAGAACAGGCTGCCCAGGGAAGTGGTGGAGTCACCATCCCTGGAGGTATTTAAAAGATGTGTAGATGTGGTGCTTAGGGACATGGTTTGCTGTTGTAACTCGTGTCTTGGACTTTATGGTCTAAGGGTCTTTTCCAACATAAACAGTTCTATGATTCCAAGTTCACTTGTGTGCAAAGCAAACATTCTTCATGTCTTCTAGCTCTCTGCCTTTTTCTGTTGACATGTTCAATGAGATGCTGCATCAACTATGCTCATTTAATCGTCCATGTGCTGCCTTTGTCCCTTGGCAAAGGAGGCTCAAAGCCACCTAGCTGAAATGCGGTAGTTAAAATTTAAGTGATGTTAATATTTGTGTGCTTTAGGTTAAGCAAGCAAGCATTTGTGGACAGTTTTCACCGACTGTATGACAAATAAAACTTTCTGTAGCTTTTTTGTGGCTAACAGATTTTTTTTTTTTTTCAGCCACCTCATCCCTTGCCCAATACATGCTTTTTTTAATGAATTTTTTTACTATAGTTGATCAGTAAAAAGGGAAAAAATTCTATGTAGTTCTGCTTCAGTGCCTTTGAACTGTGTTATCTACATGGTCTGTTTTTTGTGTTTTCAGTTAGTATCACCACCTTAAACATGAATAATATCTTCCTCTGGTTGCAAAGCAAGGAATATGTGTCAGTACAGCATAATACTGTATTTTTTTAGCACTTTATGATGAGGAATTTCAAAGTAGTGCTGCACATAATTTATTTCGGGTATTCATCTCTCCAATATCTTCCTATGTATAAAGATTTTTATATAGGATTTTTTTTTCCTTTTCATGTTATTTTTGAGAAACGCCTTTCCTTTATGTAGGGAGGTCATGAATCAGTTTTTCTGTAGATGCCGAAGTTATTATTTACTTACTTCTTAAACTGTTTTTTTGGAAATGCTTGTTTGGTTCTCTGGCAACAACTGATCACTGAAGACTTCTAGGTGATCTTCACTGACGTGTTTGAGTGACGTATCATACCTCTGTAGATGCAGCAGTTCATATTATACTGTAATTTTGACATGTATCTTTGATTTTTTTTTTTCAAGAGAACAAGAATTAATAAAAATGAAATGTGTCTTATAGCGCTATAAGCTAAAATAGTTATTTGTCTGTAAGTGTTCACAATAGCATCCAAAGTTCATGTAGTGAAGCTGAATTGTAAAATTACATGACACCATACGTATTACTCTAATGACAGCTTTGGTGATATTTTCTTTTTGTGTGTTAAAATACCATTACACCATTTAAAACAATCTGTATTGCAAAAATAAAGTTTTTTACTTTGCTATTTTTTATGTATACCAAATTATGTATCCGTTTTTCTGTGGATAGACAATCCTTTTCAGAGTCAGTTCTTGAAGAATTAATTCCACTAAAAATACTGGGATTTAATGGTCTAGGTCTTCCATTTTTTTTCTGTATAATTTTTGTCATATTTTGCTCTTCCTCTCCTCTGTACGTGTCTTTTTAAGTACATGGTTTGCTTCATTTTGGCCATTCCTGTTCCTCTGTCTTTGTTTGTTGTAGGTACAACTTTGCCTAACTCCTTAAAGTACATCTCAAGAGTATTTTTACATAACCATGAAAGATACTATGGACATCATGAATAGCTAATTAATGATGTTGATGACTTTGTGATAGGGAAGTAGTGCCATAAAAGCAAAAGGCAAGCCTGAGTTCTGCCTTCTTCATCACTTCGAAGGAATAGAGGAGCTGTTCCTGACGTCTGATGCTCTGTCTCATTTCTTAATTGTCCTCAGTGCCAGTATCAAGAAATAAAATCTTACTGAGCAAAAGTCACTCATGGGTTTGAGAGCTCAGTTTGCTTTGCTCAAGCCTTTCTTGAGGCTCTATGCCTTGATTAGGAACCAGCTAATGAAGGGAGAGGGAAAAAAAAAAAAAGTGTGTTTGATCTTTCCATTCTTGTGGTGTACTGCAGAAGCAGTTACTATAAACTAAAGTCACTTTTGTTCTTGTATCAATAAAGTCGGTAGGGATACCGTGTTCTTTATCTATTATCGTAGTAATAGGGATAGTTGTTTGTTTAAAATGGTACAATATTCTTCAAGATGTTACCAAATACTTATTTTCTACTTAACTGTTGAGTTACATTTGTGTGTGTGGTGTATGAGTTGTTTAATGTGGGTAGAAAGAAAAACAGCTTAGTTTTGGAGAATGTGGAAGAGAAGATTCCTGTATTCTGTAATGAAGCATTTGAAAGCCATGTGGAATGATTTTCTTTCTTCCTTAGCTGCTTTTGACTGCACTCTAGTAATGAATGTACCACAATAGTATTCTTAAATTAAAGGCAACAGTCTGAGGAGTGGAAGGTACTTACCATTAGGTTAATTCTGAGGCACAGAAATTAATCTTGTTTTGCTGTCATTTTTACTTTTCTATTGCTTTTTTTTAGAGACCATAGAAGAGCAAGCATTGTGATCTGGTGCTTTAGTTGGGGTTGTGTATTTCTGGAGAGAAAGGGATAAGAGAGAGGAAGGAAAACTCTTCGGTGTCCTGTTTTTGAACATACTGTCGTAAACATCTTTACAAAAGCAGATTCTGCTCACCCCCCTTTGCTTTGGCAATATTTGATGAAATGTGTGGTTCGTAAATGTTATCTGGTCTTAGCAGACTGGCAGTATATTAAGTTGGTTATTGGGTGCTTAGCAGAGACTTGTTTTGTACAATGTAATGGAAACTGTCAGTTAGATTTTCTTTCTTGGCCTGTGCTGTTTTACTTTTCAGGTTAAGTCAGCTACTTGAATGTATATTGTTACATAATGCTGCTAGATTCTTGGAATTTTAATATTTGTGGAATAGGAACCATTAATTATGTACATAGTTGGGGCAACAGAGATCATTTTACAGAAATATAAAGCAAATCAGAGAGATAACTTGCTTATTCAATAAAATAATATTTTTATTACAGATTTTGGACCAACCATGATGAACGTTTTTTGTACATGTTAATGGAGTACGTTCCAGGAGGAGAACTCTTTAGTTACCTGCGCAACATGGGGCGTTTTAACAACAGCACAGGACTGTTTTACTCTACGGAAATTATTTGTGCAATAGAATACCTGCACTCCAAAGAAATAGTTTACAGAGACTTAAAACCTGAAAATATATTACTAGACAAAGAAGGACATATCAAGCTTACTGATTTTGGATTTGCTAAAAAGCTGGTGGATAGGTAAGTAGGTTTTTGTTACAGTTTAACATTGAAAACATAATTACAGTTGGAAGAAAAGTAGTTTGATTTCAGAGCTCAGCATTTCACCTGATATTCCATGTGGTTCACACGTGTCAAATCCCTTAATATGAGGGAAATTACAGTCCTAAAATGGCCACATGGAAACCAATATTACACCTTAGGTATAACTGGGAGCAATATCACATATAAGCTACCTGGGAAAAACATTTTTGTGTGAGTAGTTTTGTATTTTTAAGTTCTCAACAGTCATCTTGTAAAAAGGGAGTTCAGTGAAGTAAAATATTGAGATTTGTATTTCAGTATGTTAAATGGGACATTAATCCTCCATACAGGTTGAGTTGCTAAATGTTTTGTAACTCATGTTTCCTATGCTTTCCTTTAAGAGAGATTTTTGAAGTGTAGAAATAACATTTTAAAAATGGATAGTATGTTTTCACTAGCCTGTTGCTAAAATGAAACTGCAAAATCTAGACAGAAATAATAAGGCCAGCTTCAGCAGGCGTGATTTATTTAACTGTAAGTTCTACAATATTGTCAGCCTTATGTCTGTTTTACTAGTATGTGTAAACTTTTTGATAATGCAGAGATTTTTTTTTTTTTCCCCAGGGATTTCTCTCTTGCCTCAATTTGAACTGCTCTTCCAAGATTATAGTACATGTTCTTAAAAGGAGGCAAGAGCTGTCAATGGGGTTCGAAAAAAAGGGAGGAAAAAAGTAGGCTGTCAAAGCGGTGTTACAAGGTTTGGTATTATTCCCTCGGGCTGCCTCTTAAGGGAGAATATATCTGATTGTTCTAGCCGAGGCAGCCTAGTAAGCGAGTTCGGCTTACACAGATGCTGGTCCTCTTCATTCATCTGTTTACCTGTCTGTCTGATGCTGCTTTTGCAACAGTGCGGTGTGGAGAGGAAATTCCACAAGATCCATTTGAAAAGAAGATAATCTGAGGAAGCTACTCTTAATGGATCTCTTAATGAAGTAAAGTCAAACAGGACAGATCAGATCGTATTATGGAGGTCATAAAGGTTGCTTCCCTACAGGTTATGTGCTCGCGGTACTGGGTTGCCTTGGCACGGAATAGTAGTAGGCAGCAAATAAATATGCTGGTTTCAGACCCTTGAGCTCTGAAAGTCTCTTTCAAAACCACAGTGTTTCAATATCAGCATGTTTGAATGAATTCAGTTTCCAGTGAGCAAGCAGATAGATCTACAAATGTTGGCTTTTTTTTTCTTAATATTTTGTTTTTAAATCAAAATAACTTTTTGCAGGAAGACGTAAGGCTACTTCCATGTAAGAAAGTAGGAAGATCTCTTTATAAGACATTTTCATGCAAATTCTGAAGACTTACTTTTTACATGTAGATACTGCCACTTAGTGGTTGTCCTTAATTTGAATTTCTGTGGGTTTAAGGCACAATTCATAAGTAACTCTTCATTAAATAAGGTGATAGTTTACATCAAAGTATATTTTTCAATCTGGAAGGTGAATCTGTAAGAGGGAATTTGTCAAAATACATTTCAGGACATTAAAACAAGTTATCACTACTGTTTTAATTGTTTTTTTTTGTGTCTTGTATTGCCTGGGGAGCAGTGAAGTTGATCCATTTGTATCGAATTGAATCACAGACACTATAGTAGTTTATGTTCCTAGCTGATCCACTTATGAATATACAACGGATAATAGAAAGTACAGAACATAAAGTTGGGAGGAGCAAGGACTTTATCAGTTAGAACACAGGTAGTTACATATACAAGTCTGGTTTGGTTTTGGTAGTTTGCATTTTTGGTGGTTTTTTTTTTTTTTTGTAACTGCGTAATATTTTCCCCACTATCTGTAGTCATTTTCACAGAGCTGTTTTTGTCACTGTAAAAATACACAGTTGTGAGCAATTTATCCACTAATGCACTCCAGTAGGTTATTTTGTTTCATAGTCTATTTGATCAAAAGTACAGGAGACGTTTTGTCATTTTTATGCATGGCAAATGTCTGTACACGTAACCCTTATGTGTGTATGTATATATACATATACATATGCACATATATATATAGCGTGTATATGAATTGTGAAAATAAAACACTAAGTATGTATGTTTTTCAAACAGCTGTGAGGAAGCCTGTCACTTAGGGCCAACTAATATGTTCCTATAGAATGGAGGACATGATATGTAAAATAAAATATGGTCTGCAGAAAATCTTCCATACAGCTACACTTCCCATGAATAATTCTGTAGTTGCTTAAATGAGATTTTTCTGTACACATTGTCCTTTCTGGCCATTACCATGTGTGAAATGGTGAACACTTCACCCTTTCACATCTACGATTAAGCTGCTCTTTAGGGAGAGTGCCTGGCTTGTAGCTCATGTTTCCACAGTGGGATGCAGCCTGCACATTTACCTTCTTATTAGTAAATTTTCTGAAGGGTTTGATTGTTATGTTTTTTTTCTAGAGAAAGAGGAAAGAGATGAGGTTTTCTTGTCTCCTTCTATTCTGTCTTGATCTGTCCTTCAGTTTATTCTTCTTCCCTTTTAGGTTGTAGAGTACTTCTAAAAATAGTCAAGGATTGTTACCTGAAGGATGTAGAAAGGATTTACTTTGAACTTCATAGCCATTATGTTTTAGACCTTTCTTTTTCTGGAAAGCATATACCATTTTTTTGGCATAATATCTCCATTAAACATTTTTCCGATCTTTCTCACTTGTGGTGTTTTTTGTTCGTTTGTTTGGTTTTTTTTGTGCACAGATTTCACTCAATGTTATGAAAGTTTTAAGTAAAGTTAGGACTTTCGTGGTTTTAGTTTTGTTTTTTTTTTTTCTGATAAATGTTATTCACTGTTAATTTTAGTTTGTTCAGTTTACATTCTTGTCAAAAAATTTTAAACTATGAAAATCTTCCTGGAAACTTGAGATTAACCTTTAAGATACTGGGGATACTTCTGCACTGTTGCTTAAGCTGGATGTGCCTCCTGACTGTTCTGCAGAGTGAATTGAGAAGAAAAACAAAACAAGGCGCAGCAAGTCTTGTTTGCAGTCTACTCTGTGTCACTGTCGAAGCAAGAATGTCTTGCAGAACAAACTTTTGTGGATTGGAAACAAAGCAATCTCCACTGAATATAATTATGGAGAAAGTTCTAGAAGAGAACACCAAAAAGGATGTTTTTGTTAATCTCGGGCTTGTATGCGAGAAGCCTGTCAGGCACTTAAGAGGTGTGGATGCTGAATGATGTGGAACGCTAAAATACGTTAACCATTGAGACTTCTTCAAATAATACTCTTAACAAGTCCCACAAATAGTATTTTATACCTTATCTTTGTGACCAGAGTAGATTCTTTGTTTTGTTTTCGTGTTTTAAAGCTATGTATTCAACCTTATCAACTATAGTTTACCTTTTTTTCAGCTTTTATCTTGAAAACCCAGAGCAGTGGACTTTTTGTTGCAGTTTGAAGGAAACAGTCTATTCTTATTATTCTACTTTATAACTTACCTTCAGAAGGATGATCTGGAGTTTCAAATAAACATGCAACAGTCATGACATAGTAATGCTAAAAAAAACCCAACACTTGAGACAATTTGATCTTTATATAGAATTTACTTGATGCTTTTTCCAAAATATTAAATAGTTTATTTCATGACCAACAAAAGAGGAGATACAAATCATGATCTTATGGCAGTAATACACAGCTTGACAAACAATTTGAGCTTCCTTCGAGTTTTTGTGTAGTTAGTAAATATAAATTTGATTGAAATTAAGAGAAGTAGATGACCTACTGGTGGTAATAAATTTTATTTCCTAGTGCAGGTAGGATACTGCAGGTTATGTCATCCTTTCCTTAACTTGTGGTTTTCCTTTTGCTTGAATAAAAAAGATCCTGTTATTAACCTCACCCTTAAGTGAGGGTCAATTTATTTACATTGTCACTAGGAAATTATGTGGGTTCTGGAAGTCATGGTCCAGTGTTAGACTGAATATTTTATTTTTTTTTTTTTTTTGGTAATCTAAATGACCTTGATAAGCGATGAAAACCGCCAAAGACTGCATCTCTGCTGAATTTATACATGGATAGCATTGGCAATTTTTGGGAAGGAAAGGATGACTGTTGTGGGGCATTGTCCTGCAAGCTGACTGGCTCATACATTAAAATGAATGTGCTTTCTCTGTTTGCTTTATTTGTACAGCTCTACTTCCCAAAGGTAATCTAAATGACCTTGATAAGCGATGAAAACCGCCAAAGACTGCATCTCTGCTGAATTTATACATGGATAGCATTGGCAATTTTTGGGAAGGAAAGGATGACTGTTGTGGGGCATTGTCCTGCAAGCTGACTGGCTCATACATTAAAATGAATGTGCTTTCTCTGTTTGCTTTATTTGTACAGCTCTACTTCCCAAATACAGTAAAACTGGCAGCTGCTTTGTTTGCAGAGCTGGCTAAATCGGTATGAATAAAAATTCATACCATGGATTGTAATACAGCTTTTTAATTTGGGAGAGAGTGGAATATTTTGTTTCAAAAGGCAAGAAAGCTTTGCTGTTTGTCTTAATTACCTAGTGCTGATCTAGGCAGCTGCTAGATGGCAGCAGTGTGTAAAACAGTGCTGTATGTTAAGAAATTTCTTGAGTATACTCGATTTGGAAAATGAGAGTTTGTATTTTCTAGCAATAAAAATTATGCCACTCTTTTATGATGAAAATTAAAGATGTATTCTCTACACTAATGAACATAGTTTCAAGAACTGTGGAGTGCTTGGGTGTGTGGTGTGTCTAACACATTCTGATGGTTTAGCTAGAGTAATTTACTGACGGTTTAGCTAGAGTAATTTAGCTTTTGTGATATTAAAATCAAGCTTAAAGAAATTCAACTCTGTACATTTAAAGTCTTGACTGACTGTACAACTCCTCTTCCTTGATCTTAAGGATTTATATGAAACAAGGCTAAGGCTTAAAGAAACTAACCAAACAAACGGAAAACAAGAAAAAACAGCCAAAATATCACTTTAAAATAATTCTGCAATCTCAGAAAAAATGTATTATTTAATCTTTAAAAAAAAAAGTCTTGACGGTCTTGAGATTCCATAAGGTACATCTCGAATATCCATGTATGGTAAAGGAAAAGAAGGTTTGTTAAGTTTAGCAGAACAATAGGAAAAACTACAAGTTGAAGGGAGTATGTATTACTTCTAAAGATGATTGCTATTCATCTTAATGCATATGTTCAGGACCGTATTACCAGTTTGATTGGAGAAGATTCTTCCCGCACTTAACAAATAAAACAACTAAGAGCTTCTCTTGCTGCAAGTTAGAAATCATATGCAGTGACCATTAATTTTCTGACTGTATTCTTTGTCGTTTCTTACTAGAACTTTTGTAAAATGCAATATACTTTTTTTTCTTTTCTGTGCTGTTATTTCATCCTCTCTTGAATTGGTGAGCACTTTTTCAAAGTTTCATTTTCTGCCTTGTGATCAGGGAAGTGTAACTTATTCAGAATGAAAGCACGTATTTTTTTCTCTAGTATGTATTTAAACATAAGATAGTGATGCGAAGCAAATTCCATATTGGTATTTTTACAAATAAGAGTTCACATTTCTGAAAGAAAGGGTTTTGGAATATTCTTAGTTTCAAATTGTAATTTGATCTTTGTAAACATTAACTGCTTAGCTTCATATTATTTCATTAGTGTATGAAATGTACATTGAAATTTGAAATGCACATTTCAATTAGGTAGCAATATAACACTTTTATATCCTGAGCTTATATGAAAAAAGCTATGACTAAAAATGACATTAAAATATATAAAAAATAGTATTACTTACATATCTTACACTTGCGTAACTACACCTTGTAAATATTTTAAATAATTAAAAATACAGATGTTTTCCTTTTAATGGATATTGTGGAAGCGATGGCAGATGACATTGGAATACTATTTGAAAAATGCTATTTAGATTGTAAAAAGAATCTTACTTAGGTCTGCAGCTGTTTACTGATTTAAGCTACTGATTTGTTATATACCCCTCTCACTTTGTTTTTTCTAAACAAAATTTTTTACTTTTGCTGGAAAATGCCAATGATCTTGCCTTTTCTGGGCCTGTCAGTAGTAGACCATGAATTCCCAGGATCTGCAGCTTACAGGGTGAAAACCATTGTTAATAATGGGTAGAGTACCACACCAGCAGTTGGGAAACTCAATGCACAGATGTTTCCTGCATCCAAGAAATTTCTGAATTTCCATATATCTCTGTTACGGGATAATTGGGGAACATCATCAAAGCAGTCTTTATAGATCTTTTTGGAGGTCTCTCTTTTCTCTCTTTTTCCCTATATACAATAAACACATAGGTATATGTTGGGTACTTTCTATGTGTGCTTTTGATTTTTTTTTTTTTTTGTATTACTGTTATTTCAGTTTCACTTCAGTCTGGTTTTGTTTTTCGTTTTGTGTGGTTTTTTTTTTTCTCATTTTCCTCCCAGGACGTGGACGCTCTGTGGCACTCCTGAGTACCTTGCACCAGAAGTTATACAAAGCAAAGGCCATGGAAGAGCTGTGGATTGGTGGGCCCTAGGAATTCTTATATTTGAGATGTTGTCAGGGTAAGTGATAATGATTACTATATCACAGCAATATTACGTGATACAGGATTCTTTAGTAGTTCTGTTTTTGATATTCAGAATACTAAATTTGGGCTAAGTTTATTATTGATATACTGGTTTTGTTTCTGCCTCTGAAGAGAGAAGTTAGAAGTTAGGAAATTGTATAAAAGAACATCTATCACTAGGGGTTTCTTAGGTTTTTGGATTTGTTGGATTCATTTGTTGTTTTGTTTGGGTTTTTTTACTTAAGTTTTTTTTTTTAACAGCTGCTCTTTTCCTTATCTGTTTTGGAAGTTCAGGTTTTGTTAAAGTTTAGATTTTTATACATAAAATCCTTTATATTTAAATGGTGATAGAAGAGGGCTACCAGCTTTCTTTGAAGCTTCTGTAATTAGTTTCTGGCAAAGTGAAATAATATTTGCAGTGGGAGGTTTAATCTGTAAAAATGCGTAGTGGCAAGTAAAGTAGGAAGACTTTTATTAGTACAGCTTGTATTACTACTGAGCACTTTTTTTTTTTAAAGCAAATTAAAAAGAGCAGAGAAAAGCTTAAAAGGTCTTATTTGGAAATTTGTTTGCTCAAATGCTACTTTTGATGGTTTGGAATTTGCTTGATAAGCAATGTTTCCAAAAGATACAAATTCAAACTGAAGAGAGACTTTCTGGCATTAATGTAATAGTTTCTGGCTTTCAGTATTAGGTAGATAAAAGTAATTGTCTTAATTTGCTCTTTTTTCAAAAAAGAAATACTATTTTCAATGAAATAAATAACCAGTTGAGGGAGAATATGAAATTCTGCTTGTGTACTGAACAAGGCATCCATATGTTTTTCCTTATTTTTTGTCTTGGCTATATCTTTTGAAGGTACTTGCCAAAACAAAAGAAGTGGGAATTTTGAAAGATCAGTTTTGCCATGGTTGGTGCAGTAGAACAAATGCAGCTGAAAGCAAGGCATTCGTTCATAACTTCAGAAGAAACAGTGTATTTCATCAGTTCTAGTTTCCCAGTTGTTAGTTTCGTCTTTTCGGTAGCAGGCCCGGTGTGCTCTGTGCCCTTGGCTCCCGGAGCGTGCGTCAGGTTGCCTCATGGCCTTCTGTTTTTGGATCTGCAGCCCCGCAGACTGAAGTCGGAACAAAAACGTCCTTGCTTGGATTTATTCTTCCTTTTCTGTAGACAACACTGTCAGTTCAGGGTAGCTTTGACTTTTCTGATGTTTGGACAAGCTCGTCAGGTTGCACGAGCAGATGGTTCCCCTGGTTGATGATTGCTTCATAGCTCCAATCCATCACCTCTGTTTGCAGTGAAGAAGTTCACCCAATAACAGCATTAAAACTTTATCCCAGAACAACATTGCTGCCCACTGCTTGCTTTCTTCATGTCCTGAAGAGTTGCATATGCATTTACTTTGAATCTCAAGGCAATTTCTGGACAGAAAAAAGGCCTAAGAATGTACTAGTAGTTCCCTACTGACCCAGACAGGCTTGGCTAACTGATGTGCACAGAGACCAGGCTTCACCTTTCTTCCACCCCTCTCTGTAAGGGTAAGCAGCCCAAGTTGGTCAAGGGAGTCCTTCTCGGAGGGTTGAAAGGAGCAAGAGATTCCGAGCAGCATTGTTGCCACAAATCTTAGTCCTAGACAGCGTGAAAACAGTAGATAAAAGTGTCTGGTGCTGTAATGTTAGCGCAAGTGCTGCAGTCAGAGTGATTTACCTTTCTGCTAATCTATTTGGTCTGTGTAGTCTCAGTGTAAGTGGGCGTGGGGTGTTTTTCCTTTCTGTGCCTTGCAAGATGTTGACAAGATTCCACTACAGCAGTAATAGAAATGTGGTTTCCAAAGTTAGCATCTGACTAAAGGTGATAGTCAAGCAAGGTTTCATCTCTGGAGCCAGAGACCTCAAGACTGCAGGGCACTGAAGTATGACTGGTATATATTCTTCATTAAAAAAGGGAGCAGCTGCAATCATTGCTATATAGGATCTTTTATGTCCTGAAACTATCTGGCTCGAGTGATGACATCTGGATTCCCCCAAGCTTAACATAAACACTTTGGCTGTAGAGACACTTAAGCAAGAGAGATAAATTACACATTTTTAAAAGGCAACTGAGATCTTACATAGGCTGATTGACAGAGCAGCTGTCTACTGCAACTGATTTCGTAACTCTTTTTACTATAGTATTTGTGTGGGTATGCTCTTCATAATGATTGGATCCTTCTTTTTATTCTTCAATGTTTGGATGGAGTCCCTGTCCAAAGCTGGGATAGAGACTCTGCCCAAGTTAATTTTGTTAATTTATGTTTTATGTTAATTTTTGTTTGTTTGAAGGTTTTATGGTGGGGTTTTTTTGGTTGGTTGGTTGTTGTTTGTTATTCTTTTTTTGGGGGGGGGGGGGGAAAGATGTAGATTGATACTGCTTACTTGCTTAGGATTTTTAAGATTCTTGAGCTTGGGGAGCTGAGGGGGGCAGGGATTGTGGCTTGTGTGTGCTTTCTTTGAGAGGGCAGGTTGTCACATATTGCATATGCTTTTAGCATTTTATCAGCTTTTCACTGTTGTTGGCAGTAGAATTTTAAAACACTTTTCGTCACCAACTCAAGATTTGGCTTGATATTTACTATCAAAGCTATTAATGCAAAATCAGACCTAGGTAACTTTATCCCTTGAAATTTGAAGAAGATTTAAGAAATAAGGTGGTGAACAAAACCTGACTTCAAGACTAAGTTATTGTCTGCCAGTGAATGACTTAAGACATTTGGTAGTTATTTCCTGAAGTTACTCTCTCTGAACCCCAAAAGCAATTGAAAAGAAAGAGTAGATGTGTGTGCAGGGAAATGGTATCTCTCAAAACAAACAAACAAAACCACACTTTTCCTGTTCTGCAGTGTCTTATTTCTCTAACTTAATCTCTAGAGACCTGTGGAATTCTAGTTCTGCACATACTAGATTTAAGGTAAAGTCCCATTTAGGTTTAAGATAGTAAAATACAGGAAGGGGAAAGAACAGGGAGAACCAAAGATGAGGAGACACCTTTACAGAACAGATGAGTAACATTAACAGGCTAAATAAACTGTCAATAGAAAGAGTTGAAAGATCTATTTATTTTGAGTAAATGTGTTCTGTTACAATCTACCACAGAAGAAAATATGTTTGTTACTTTACGTTGGATATGTTAGGTAATAATTGTACTGTCATCAGACATGTAGCTAACTGAATTTTCTCATTTAATGAGGGCTTTGTGTTTTCCGTTTCTGCTTTGGTGGTCATATATGATGTGCTGGCCTGTCATTTTAGGTAACTAATGGCTCCTGTCTATGGTTTCATATTCTCAGACCTGTGTGTTTTCCCGTGAAGTTTTACAACTCTTCTTCAGTGCTAAAACTATCTGTTATCTTTGAGATATATCTTTGAGACCAATGTCAGTGCCATATTAATGCATCAGATAGCTAAAGGAATGGTTTGCAGCTGTTGTCCCATATATAGAGTTTTTTTGGGGTTTTTTTTTTAGCTTCTTTTCAGTTGGTGGAAAAAAGGCAGCTGTTTGTTATTGCGTGAAGGCAATCTGAAACTCCAAGGGGGTTTTTGTTGATTTATTAGGTACCTTCCAGCTCAGCACTTGTGTTGTTTGGTCTAAAATCAATGCTGTGTTGTAGATTGACATTTGTAAGTAGTATCAAAGTCAAGTTATTTAGTTTGTTCATAAGAAAACTATGTAATCTTTCAAAGCTGTTATCATTTTGTATACAGTTCAAATGCACTTTAGACAGTATTGCCATTAAGCTATTATATAGCCAAGTGTGATTTAAATTTCTCTCAAGAATTCTAGATATAGTAATTTTGGATTTTCAAAGTGGGAAAGCAAAGAGCAATTTAAACATACGTAAATATGTTAAAACATATACATATTCTTGATTTCACATCTCAGTAGTGTACAGAATGTTTGGAGATGGAGGAAAAAACCCTGCATTTCGTATCAGTCTGCTTACTGCAGCTGGTACCTTTGTAATACATCATTACAAAGTCTGATTCTAATTGCTTTATGCATTTATAGATTGTAATATGTAATAACAAATACAACATTGGAAACTGAGTATGCTGTTTGTCAACTTGCTTTGGAGAATGTGAAGGACATAATGATGCCTTACTAAAAATGAACCTTTATATGATAGTCTCTCTGGTGTGGGAAAATTTTATGCATATTAAATATCTATCACATTTTTCTTGTTCTTTAGTGTCAAAGC